TAGTTGAAGAATTATGAATAATTATGAAGATAACATGGCCTCCTTCAGTTATGTAGTTGGACAAAGGAAAAGTATTTTAATGGTCTTTTTGACACTTGTGAATACTCATTTTTGGTACTGCACCAAGTCTTGACAAGTGTTGATTCTTTTCCTTTTCTTTTTTTGTTAAGCAGATAAAGGCATATTTTATTTGAATGACTAATCTAATCACTGAGGATACTATGTCAAGAGAAGAGAAGGGGAACTTTATTTCTTGGTCTTTTCCTCCTGGGACAGAGTCCTGATGAGCGCCTCCTTCTTGGCCTGGAGGTGTTCCTTCTTTGTGTTTGAGTGCTTCCTTGGTATTACAAGTATAGGCCTGGTCACACAGAGCTTCTTGTGGGCCTTATCTGTTTTTAGCTTGTGGATGTGTGTCATGAGAATCTGCTTGTTTTTTTATTTGTATTTTTCCTGTTACATATATTATCCCATTTACTTTATAGGTTCGTACCTGAAAAGTATTGGTCTTTTAATTTATTCATTCTTCTGATGGCAGACTTCATTGTAAAAGCAGAAGTGGTGTTGTACATCTAGGAACCATGGTGTTAGATCCCCTCAACTTGTCTCTTCATCTTGGTTTTTCCACAGAATGGGCAAGTGTACTTGGTGTGCTGGCTGCTTTGAATTTTCTTCACTATTTTCTGGAGGGTGGCACCAGAGTGGTCCTGTATTTATCGATGATCCTGACCTTCTTGGTGTGTTTACTCATGTTGCCGTGAACCAGGTCCCATGCTTATTTTTTTTAACATGTTCCCCTTAACCTTCAGGTACAGGCTGTGATATGTGTGGCAGTCAATCTTCTGAGCAGTCAGAGAAGAATTCTCATCCTCTTCGTCCAGGTTAACTTCTCTGGCATTCAAGCACTGACCGTAACCTTTCACTTACTTATGCCCATGTACCTGCCCTTCTGGTGGTAAAAGGTGTTTTGACAGCATCAAGCCAGGGAATATGCAGTCACAGGCTTGTGGATGATCACCTTATCTTTGATCAGTTTCCAGATGTTCTGATGGGAGTTGATGTTGGTGATTTTGTGGTCTTATTGGGGTTGAATCAGACAGACCTCCTTTTGTCACAGCAGAGGTCACTGGAGGCAAGCCTCTTCTGAAGCTTGAGCATACTCATGGCTTCAGCTGCAGCAGAAAGGGAAGAACCTACAAGTGGTAGTTTCTCAAATTGAATTATGAAGTGTAAATTGAGACCATTGGTAATTTTTTTTTGTATTCTGCTACATTAAAATTCACTTGTGGAGCTTTGCCTGGATCTTTTAACCATATAGGATTCTGTAAAATTATGTTTGTTATTTGGAAAACATTGCGTTACTGAGTTATGTAGATTTTTAAATATTTTTTTTAGATAGAGCCTTACTCTGTCTCCCTCGGTAGAGGGCTGTGGCATCATAGCTCACAGCAACCTCAAATTCTTGGGCTTCAGCAATCCTATTGTCTCACTCTTCTGAGTAGCTGGGACCACAGGAGCCCACCACTCTGCCCTGCTAGTTTTTCTACTTTTAATAGAGCTGAGGTCTCACTCATGCTCAGGCTGGTCTAAAACTCCTGAGCTCAAGTAATCCACCCTCAAACAATCCACCTACATCAGCCTCCCAGAACGCTAGGATTTTTTTTTTTTCAGTTTTTGGCCAGGGTTGGGTTTGAACCCACCACCTCCGGCATATGGGGCTGGTACCCTACTCCTTTGAGCCACAGGCACCATCCACAAAGCGCTAGGATTACAGGCATGAGCCACCAATATCTGGCCCAATCCTATTTTTCATATTACATGACTAGATACTTTTTGGACAGCCCTCCTATAATATTACTTTATAAGCATTAACTCATAAAAATAAAAGAAGAAAAATCAGAACCCTTTCCAGTAAAATATAATAAAATTAAAATAAAGAAATATAATCAGCCACCAGCAAAACCTATGACATGATAGGTAATACGTTAATATTATCCACTTAAATGAGAATACTGAAACACACGGAGACTAAATGACTCTACCTCACCATGGTTCATAGTACCAAAACCAGGATTTGAAGCCAGACATTTTGATTCTTGAACTCATTTACTTAACACTATGCTATGTTGCCTGTCAGATATTTGAGTAATGAATAAATTTACTTCATTTGCTCCAAGAAAACTGAAGTTGCCCTTTTATGCTTAACAATTATGATTATGAAAATATTTCATAGAGATAAAACCAGAAAAGAAAAATTTAATGCAGATGTCACCACTAATGCAATTATGCTTCCATCCTTTATCAATAGCAAATGCAAATTGTGATTTTTCTCTAATGATCACAATTACCTGCTCACACTGGTAATAGATCACACTGAGGATATCTTCCATTTTTCTTCCTCTTTTTTTTCCAGTACTTTGTTGTTTAATTTTTATATATTATCTAAAACCTTGAGCTGTGGAGCTGAAACAGCTGTTTATGAGTTACATAATGAAGTGTTTCATAACATTCAATTTCAGTATCTAATGTCTACTTATCTGTACTTAGGAAAGAGACAATGGCATTATTAACAACTTATTTTTTTTTTTTTGAGAGAGAGTCTCAAGCTATCCCCCTGGGTAGAGTGCTGTGGCATCACAGCTCACAGCAATCTCCAA